CCATCACAGCGTAGCAGCATTTCCATGCTAGTTATAAATGCAGCCGTGTTGGAGACAGGAACTTGGAATGGCTGGAGTCACCAACTGTGGACAGCCCCTAAGCTGACTCATTAGGCACTGACAGGTGATCTGTCAGAGAATAATGAGTCCCAGAGCTTCCGTTCTCACTCTAATGCTTGTTATTAATGACCTATCAGGACAGATGATATTGAAATTCTATCTGCCACAAAGAAAGAAACCTAAAAAATGAATCAGTTTCAGGATGAGGGTAGAAAGCTGTCCCTAGAAAGGAAGCTGAGTGACAGTCATTGGAAAATTAAAGCTGGCTTGCAACTGAGATGTGCACTTTCAAGTAAAACTTCATTGCTACCTTAGACTTGGTTTGTTTTTTGGTGATTTTCACTTTACTGGTGGCATGTGTAAACTTGACCCAAACAGGTAAATCTCCAGACACCTCACTCACTGTGTTGGGCCAAAAGAAAGGAAAATAGTATCTGAACTTCAAAGCAGGGAACTTGGATGGCCAGCAGAGGCTACTTATGACTGGTCTGCCAGTCAGGGTGTGTGTGTGTGTGTGTGTGTGTGTGTGTGTGTGTGTGTGTGTGTGTTATCAGGCCATGTGTTAAATGCTGCCTCAGAGGCCGCCATGTTTGGGGTCAGAGTTCAGCAAACTTCTTCTTAAGGTTTTTGATTTTGCAGGCTGAGTGATTTCTCATGCAACCACCAAGTCCAGCCATTATAACACAAAATTGGCCACAGACCATGCACTTTTGAATGAATATTTGTTTTTGAAAAATTCCAACTTTTGGATACTAAAATTTGAATTTTGCATATTTTTATGTCTCAAAATGTGATTACTGTGATTTGGGGGTTTTGTTTGTTTGTTAGACTAGATCTTTCTACATTTCTACATAGCCCAGGCTAGCCTCAGACTCATAATTTCCTGCTTCTGCTCCTCTAGGGCTGTGATTTATAGGCATGTACTTCCACACCAAGCTCTATCTGGGTTTTTAGAAACAACTTAAAAATGGAAATCACAGTAGAAGGAGGCAGAGGTTCAAGGATCTGAGGCTAGCCTGATCTACATAGCAAATTCCAGGCCAACTGGGGCTACATATCATGACCCTTTCTTAAAACAAATGAACAAAGTAAAAATCACGTACAACACAGTGGCTGCACACAAGCAGGGGGACACCCGCTCCGCTGGTGGTCGGCAGCGCCCCACCCTACCCACTCACCACTCTGGTCTGTTACATTAAGGAGAGACTAGGTGTGAGAAGATGTCCAGTCTACAGGCCCCAAAGGGCTCTCATCCAGCTGAATGCTTCATGAAAGTCACATTTTGAGCTGCTTAAAGAATGAGGTTTTATATAATGGGGTAGCTCAAGCTTAGACACTTTTGGGAATAAAGGGAGCATTCTTGATGGGTTCTCCAGCCCCACAGGTGGGACCAAAATGTAACGTACCTGACAGGGCATATGGTTACCCAGGAAGGGGCCTAGTGGTGCAGTGAGCAGAAAGCTCTGGACGCGATCGAAGGACACTGAACTGTGCATGAGTGAATGAACAAGTGTAAGTCAACAGAAGCCCACTGAGAAGGAACTGGGTGAGATGGGCTGGAAAGAGGGTGTGGGGCTTGAGCAAGGATTGGATCTGCAAGTTAACATGGAACTGACATTCAGGAAGTAAGATGGCGCTGAGGCTCCAGTTGTGAGAGACAATGATGTCATATGTCCCAATGGTATCTGACTATAGAATGATCTGGGCCAGGCGGAGACTGCTTGCAGGAGCCCAATTCAGAGACCACAGCAACAGTTTGAAGAGAGAATGAGAGAACCCAGGTGCACTCCAGGCAACAAGACCAGAAAGTGGGAGGTGCATGGAAGCCGGATCAGAGAGGAAGTCAAAAGAACTTGCCAACTGAATATAAAAGATGCCGAGAAAATGGGAAATCAAAGGAAATTCCCAATGCTTTAAGTCCGGGTGACCACGTGTGTACCATAGTCATAGTTTAGAGATATAAGGGGAGGGGAAATTTGTAAGTACATATATAATTGGGATCCAGTTCTTCTGTGTGGAAATTAGATACAAGGAAGCAAAGTACTTTTATAGTTTAATTTGAAAATACTTTCATGTCAGAGATCCTCAATCTGGATAATGTTTTTAGAGGCTTCCTGATAAACCGAGTGTGAGCAGCCTTGTTCCAGAGAGATGAGCCTTTGACAGGAGGGAAGTAATGAAGAGTTGGGCCCGTTTCTCCATTAATATTTGTCCTGGGACCCCATGGGATGCAACCCACTTTTTAATTCCTACAGTGGCTCTCAACATTTGCTGTGACAGTGAAAATGAGCCCAGCCGAGGAAAAGGTACCCAGGACTGCCCTTCAGCTCAAATACGTCTCAGAATAACTCAGACCGAGATCCTGCTAACCACTTATTTCAATATTTGTCTTGGGAGTTTTTTTTTAATTATCCAAATGAAACACTTGATCTAAAAACCCACCTCATTTCTTGTAGAGCCCTGGGATTGGGGTTGCCATCCCGAGCTCAAAAGACAGGAACAAACATAGGCCTCCAAGCATGTAAAGGTGTAAATGACCTACTGTGTGTTCCTTGACTCGCACAGTTTTACATAAGCTGTAACTTTCCAGTAACTTTCTAAGCACTAATTTTTTTTCCTGGAGAAAATATGAGAAAAGAGACAGAAGTAAATGAATAACTAAATAGTAGGTAATTATAGCAGATAACTGTAATTACCTGTAAGTACATTCGTGAGCATACACAGAGAGAAACACACAAACACACACAGAGAGACAGAAATACATACAGATATACAAACATACACATAAACACACACACACACACACACACATCTCACTGTGCTAAAATATGAGTGTATCCAGATGCCTCCAAATCAAAATATTTTGCTTTGAAAATTCTCTTGTACAGCTTTTAATCTTATCAAATAGGCTGTTGTTGTTTTGTTTTCTTTTTTCTAAACAGTATTCCCCATACGGCCAAGCCTGCTTCAAGATCATGGTTCTCCTGATTCATCTTCCTGAGTGCTGGGATTACAAGCCTCACCATGTGTACCTAGATTTTTTGTTTTGTTTTTTTTTTTTGTTTTGTTTTTATACTTAATAGATTCATAATTGTTTCAAATAAAGAAGCAGTAATGTTGGTAACTTTAATGATATAGCTCTAACTTTCAAGCCATTGAAAGCTGAACACAATATCATACTGAAAATAGGAAACACTGTATTTTGAAAACCTTGGGTGTCAGGACTGGGGAGATGGCTCGGTAATCACGAACACTGGATGCTCTTCCAGAGGACTGGGGTTTGAGTCTCGGTATCTACCTGACAACTCACAACCATTTATAACTCCAGTTCCAGGGGATCCAACACCCTCTTCTGGCCTCCATAGGCACCAGGCACCCAAGTGGTGGACAGATAAACATACAGGCAAAACACCCATACACACAAAATAAAAATTAAAATAATGTAAAAAGAAGGCTTTGAGTGTTCTTGATGATGCATTGGTTAGATTCTAACCCTGACTTAGCAAATTAGCAAGTCTTTCTGAACTACACTCTTTTTAAATCTAACTTGATAATATCTGTTCTGCATGGTTCTGGAAAGACTAGAGTTTGGAAACATTTCCAGCCGTTTGTATCAGTGTTAGAATACCTCTAACTCTGTTCCTCAGAGGAAGTTAATGTCATCAGTCCTCTTTATGAAATAGCCACACCAAGAAAACGCATGTGGGAAAAACATAGAGAAAGGACAAATTGTTTTAGACCACATGTTGGGAAAGTATGAAAAATAATATCTTGTAGCCGTACTGCTTAAATTACATTTCAAATTAGACATTTAAGAATCACTCAAGTGTAGCATGAATCTTAGAGAGTCTTATTAATAAAATCAAACTCGGGGCCAGTTATTGGGGTGAAATGCTGGATGGTCAGAGAGACAGAACAAGCCACAGCTACCTCACCTCACCGGATTCTCAGCTGGTCCTGTTTCCTCAGACTGGAGGCCTCCGAGTCCTCATCCAGAATGAATCTCAGCTGAACTGTGCTGCTAGAAGCCTGAAAGCTTAGCTAGCCCAAATGCTTCTAGTTTCTGGTCCTCACACCTTATATATCTTTCTGCTTTCTACCACCACTCCCTGGGATTAAAGGCTCACTTTCTGGGATTAAAGACATGTGTCACCATGCCTGGCTGTTTCCAATGTGGCCTTGAACTCACAGAGATCCAGAGGGATTTCTGCCTCTGGAATGCTAGGATTAAAGGTGTGAGTGCCACCATTTTCTAGCCTTTGTATCTAGTGACTGTCTGTTCTCTGACCCCAGATAAGTTTATTAGGGTGCACAATATTTTGGGGAACACAATACCACCACACTCAAGGGCTGAGAAGACAACTCTGCACATGTCCTGCTTGTAGTATAAGCAAGACCTTTGTGTGAAAGTCAGATCCAAGAGAGGGAGTCTAGAGAACTTGTCAATTGAATGCCCCTCACCATGTAAATGCTGATGGATTTGTATGTCACTTCACAGGGGTCTCCTGAACCAGCTGGGCAGTGACTAGTCAAATCAGAAAGCTCTAGGTTTGAATAAGGGCCCTGCCTCAATGAATTAGATGGAAATTGGTCAAGGAAGTTTCCTGATATCAACAACGTTCCCACATGCATGAAAACACATGTGTACACACATGCAATGCATACATATACACAAAAAGGAAAATGTCTACTTGTTGGAGTTGCTAATCTCTAAAAACTCCCCAAATGAACCAAGAGAAAACACATACTTAGAACTTTGAGGGAGCTCTTGTCACGGTGCTCTGTCTTGCCCACTTAAGTCTTTGAACAATACACCTGTCGTGCTTTTCAGAATTCTTGGCTCTGGGAGGCTTATAGTTATTATCTCTTACCCTGCATTTTTGTGTGGTGAACAAGTCACTCAGGATGCCTTTTAATTCTTCGTTCCTTTTTGTCTTCAGGAGTTGTACGGATGTTCTGTGCTGTATGATCTTCCTACTGTTTGTTACGGGCTATGTTCTGTTAGGACTCGTGGGTGAGTAACCCCAGGTATAGACAATATTTACCATTTGTTAGTGGATCAACAAAGCCAGTATCTCATTTTAAACATGAGCTGTTTTCTTATTATTGACTGTTATCTTCTCTGGACTTATTTGGTAGTGGCTACAAAATCAACACAAGGCAGAGTAGCCAAATAAAAGCTCCATAACGAAGACAGCAGCAAATAAGGGACTTCTAGTTCCTTCTTTAATAATTTCTTCTTTTTAAATTCCAGTGAAGAGCTAATCATATCAGTGCTGCTGTTTGCTGTAAGAACTAGGAGCTAGGTTGGTTCGGGCATTCTGTAAACTTGTTTATTCATAAGCTAGTCAAGGATGAGGGGCAATGATTCTGAATTTCACCAGCTAATTCTTTGTAAATTGAATCTATTCTCTTTGCCTACCAAGAAAGAGGCACTCCTGTTTGCTGTTAGGTTAAAGATTTTTCTAGAACACAAAAACAAAGAAGACAAACACATAAGATTATTTTAAAGAAAATAGCACAAAAAGAAAAATCCTGTATTTTCTGTAAAAAGATTTTATGATTTTAGTCAGTATACTAGGCAATCAACCAAAAGGTATAAATCCTGTCTTCTAGGTATTGACTTCAGAAAATTGGACTTACCACTGTAAGGGTGAGAGCCATGGAAATCAGATCTTAGCTTCTAGTACCAGTCATTATTGACCTGTGGTTAACATGGAAAGAAACTTTCACCATGTTGCAGAACACTGTAAAAATATTTTGGTCTTTCTTTTTATCTTCTAGTAAGAGAAGTAACCCTGCCCCCAAAAAGTAACTCCCCAAGTTAATCTCTGTATTACCATGCAAACTCTACAGAATTGTATAAAATCTAGGACATAAAAATAGGGAGAAGAAAAATTTAACAGGCATTAACACAAGAATCAATAACGTACTCTTATAAGGCTTGCAGAATGTCCCTCTCGTTCTTAGGTATTTTAACTTTAGAACTTCTAAGCATTTGTATAGATTGAATACAACCTCTAGGTTGAATATTATAAAATATTTTCATATACAAGCGGAATTTTAACCTGTCTCACTTCAGGACACATTTTTCTAGTCTACAGAAATATTTGGTTATTTTTGCTTACTGTCATAGAATTGAAATGGGTGCATAAGAGGCGGGGAATTTGGAGTCAGGCAGGTCTAGATTCTTATACTATTTTGTGGGGTATCGATAACTAATCAGCTCATTCACCTGGGAAGAACAGAAATGCTCCCTGATTTTCAAGGCCAGTTGTAAGGGATAAACTGAAATGCCCAACCATGTCAGCTGTGCTAGTGAGAGTAATAGATAGAGCATAAATAATTTAGTGGTTCTAAATTGCAATAAATTTGTTTCAAATGCGATTTACAATGTTGTTTCTATTGCAACCCATAATTTTGGTTATTAAAGTTTGAGTATACACAGGAACTCCCCAAAGGGCTCCTGCTGTGAGCAGAATCCTTCTAAACAAGGCCTAACTCAACAGTAGGTTGAGTCTCTCTGTAGGATAGTTCTGTTTGTACAGGGACTGTCAAAGCCACATCTGCCCCTGGCAGGGTCAGCAGAGGAGCACCCAGCCACCTCTGCTGTGGCAGGTCAGTGGGGAAGGGCCCACCATAAGTCCCTCTGGAGCAAGACAAGAATGCCACCTTTTTGTTCAAGATCTCCAAATTTGATTTGTAAATGTTTTAATTCTCATAGGAAATTGGAGAATAAATTTTCCTCAATCAAAGTCAATGTTGTACATTAAATTAATTCAGCATATCTCCCAAATTGATCCTGATACTGCTGCTAGAAACAAATGACTCATGGAATTCAGTAAATACCATACACTTACTTTATCCCTCAACTATAGCTGGCCTTGTTGGTTTGATTTCAAAATATTAACTCAATTGCTGCTATAGTTAGGTTGGCTGGAAGAAGACTGGGGGGTACAATTGGCAGGGGCAAGTAGAAATGTTAAGAACGGCTGTACCATGAAGGAGTGTGTGGCCTCCCTCGAGAAGTCATTCTCAATGTGATGGTATCGGAAGCACGGTGGTGCCTGGCCATCTCGTCAGGTCAGGGCCCTCACGGATTTATCGTTTATCTGTAATCTTTCTGTGAGTGTTACTATGCTTATTAGTTACTTTCTGTGGCTGTAATGAAGTACCACATTCCAGGCAAAAGAAGAATTTATTTTGGCTTTGGTTCCAGAGTGTCGGGGAGTCCACCGTGGACGTGAGGCACAGCAGCAGGAAGCTGAGTGAGCATCTCTTAGCACAGCCCTAAGCAGAGAGAGAGAAACTGGAAGTGATGTGGTTCTCCCAGCAATCATGCACTCCCCAAACCTCCCCACATAGCACCGTCACCCTGGGGACCAAGTGTTCCAGTACCCAGGCCTGTGGAGAGCACTTCTCACTCAAACTGTCACACCCTGGAAGAGCCATTTCTGTTTCTCACCAAAAACCAACAAGGCAGGGGAGGGATAGGCGGGGCTGCCAGGCAGAGAGAACAAAGAGAAGGAGAAAAAGAGAAGAGGGAGGAGCAAGAACAGGAGAGGGGGCCACCAGGGGCAGCCACCCAGCCACCCAGCCACCCAGCCACCCAGTCACCCAGTCACCCAGTCACCCAGTCACCCAGCCACATAGCCACACAGCCACACAGCCACCCAGCCACCCAGCCACACAGCCACACAGCCATCCAGTCACACAGCCACACAGCCACACAGCCACCCACCCACCCAGCCAC